TGCAAACGTGAATAAAGCTTAAAAAGGAGCCTACGAGAAGTAAACTACTTTTTGGCTGAGTTATTGCACTTAGTGTGTGCATCCAGGGCTTCGTTGAACAGCTTCCATCCTTCTGTCTTCTTGAACTCCTCCTCACTGATTCCTTCTTCTTCTTCACTGGACTCTGAATCCTGCTGAACATACAAAAAATGTTGGGTCAACTTTGGTGTAAGAACCTGTGAAGTTTCTCTTTGTTTTGTCACTATTATTTTCCTAGTCTCTACTGTTTTGACTTCGTTACGTCACTCGTGAACGTAACAGGTTCTTATACCGAAGCTGAGCCAAAATGTCGAAGCCAAATAATAGAGTCAAATGGGGTAACTTCATCCTGGGCACTGAAAGCGGAGAAATTTCGGTAGGCTTACAGCCGACAGCGTTCATATGTTTTTGCCTTGTACGCATGTTGTATTTCATCTCTCAACATATACCCACCTCAGAACCAAAGGTCACGTTCACATTTCTCTTTGTTCTTTTTCCATAAATTTTCCTCAGTTCTTCCTAGAATCATATAAGTAATATGCAAGAGTTAATACCATGCATAAATTGGCACTGAAAGTTACCTATTGTGCAGTCCTCGTTTTGTGATATTTTTTTTTCTTCCAGGCCTAAATTGCCACAAGAGGAATAAAAAGGAACCTGTTTAATGTTTTGAGGAGATCCTACTACAGAAAGAAATCTGTCAGAGGGGCAACGGGTCCCGCCAGTGGAAAAAAAACAACGCTGGTAAAAATGCTGGCAAAGCTTATCGTTGCATTACCCCGCCCAAGTATGTACTCTCACTTTTTTTTCCCACGATCTAAAGGAGCTTGACATTCTAGTCAGATCTTCTGCTGGAATCATATTGATGTATTATTCCTTTGCTTTTGTCATGAAAAAATACTCGGATCACTCAGCGTTTCTGGGAAACCAGAGTAATGAGACTCGGTAGAAATCGTCTCGATAGGATGACTACTCGATATGCCACTAGGACGTGTCGTCGGTCCGTTTCACGAACAAGTATCGTTTTCCCAACGAGTAATTTGAACGAGTGTGGTTTAAACGAGTCACGTCCTTGTGGCATATCGAGTACTCATCAAATCGAGAAGATTTTTTATCAAGTCTTTATACCCTGGTTTCCCAGAAACGCTGTGTGATCCAAATACTCGTGCACAGTGAGTGGTCATGTCATTAAAAAATCAGAGAGTTGTGGCGTGTTTTTATTGGCAGTAAGGCTGAAGTGGTTGCTTTATTTTTATTACAACCGAGCGGAAGCCTTGAACCTTGTGTCTCCACTGAAGAATACTAAGCGGGGTAACAACATTATTAAATATTTGCGTAACTGTTTGGGACATGTATGTGTCGGGCATACCTACATATGTTTTTTTTTAATTCCTACCTGCCTATGTGATGGGAATTGCATTTGTGAGCGGGAAGATTGTTTTTCAGAGTTCCAAGCCTTGTCACCTCCTCCTGTTTCTTCATCTTTTTCTCTTTCGATACGCCCCTTGAGTCTCTTCCTCTGCAATTTCGTGAAATACAAGTAAAAAAATAATTAGAGCTCAACTTGATCATGACAACGAAATGTTTCAGTTTAGCTGATATCATGTTCTGGTAACGTTTCCAAAACACACATCGCCGGAGAAAAAACAACATTTTGATGAATTAACCACCTCACTTGCAGAGGTCCGATTGGCGAAACATCCCCCTAAAAGATTTTGAGTTCAGGAAACATATTGAGTTTTTCGGTCCTTCGTCAACAGTTAAGGTAATAGTGATATTTATGGTTGTGCTACACACTACTTCTTAAAGTCTTAAAGTACCATGAGACCTTTGCATAATTTTTACCGGTATACTACGATAAAATTTAAACTCATAAAACAAGTTAGCAGGAGCCAACGATGGCTTTCCTGTACATCGAACATCGTTTGGAATTCTATCCCTGAATGTTAGTGTGGAGCTAACTATGTGTCTGTGATTAACACCCCTGTTTAGGTTTTTATCAAAACTTTCAGTCCGTACCAAATTTCGTTTGGAATACCGATGGTTATCATTTTGAGCTGCCATAAGGAACTTGCTTGAAAAAGTTTCATAAACGTCTAAAGTTCCTCTTCATAACAAGGGCATCTCTTATACAAAAACTTAACATAACACCTTATTAGATCACAGCTGGACGAAACCTCACATATCTTTTATGGCATAATATTAAGGCTATCTTTTTTGTGATCTTATCTTCTATAGTTTTGAATAATCTGAGAGTAACGGCTGCAAGTAACACTGAGAAAAAAACAGGCGTTTTGCTGCAGTCTATGACTTCTTATGGACTAAGGCCTCCGGCTTTCGTTCCCACTCACTGGAGTAGAATTTTAAGGCGCGTTCCTGAACTAAGTTAGGAGCCTTTCTTCATTTACTGAGGCGGAAAATCTCTTAACATGCCTAGAACTGACGGGGGATCAACACCTACATTAAAGCGAATAATTCTAATTTACAACTACTTTTGGTAGTTGTAAATTAGAATAGACAGCTTCTTTTAGACCAGTTAAAGAAATAGACATTTCCTTATAGTCGCATTGCCAAAAACCAAACACCTTTTTGAAAAAAAAAAAACTCCTTGACACACCTACATTTCTACATGACTGTTTATCAGTTCATTAGATTACGGGGTTGAAAAACTGAGTTACCCGGTGGATGTTGCCAGCGATGTACCTGTGCTGAATAAAATCGGCTTCCTTCCAAAGCTGGCATTTCTTTGTTAGACTGAAAACATCCGTTCCCATAGGGATGGGGATATATGCACATGCCTTGTGCGCATGTTGCATTTCATCTCTCAATATATACCCACCTCAGAACCAAAGGTCACGTTCACACTTCTCTCTGTTCTTTTTCCATAAATTTTCCTCAGTTCTTCCTAGAATCATATAAGTATTATGCAAGAGTTAATACTATGCATAAATTGGCACTGAAAGTTACCTCCAGTGCATTCCTCGTTTTGTAATATTTTTTTTCTTCCAGGCCTAAATTGCAATAGGAGGACTAAAAAGAAGCCTATTTAATGTTTTGAGGAGATCTTGCTACAGAAAGAAATTTGTCAGAGGGGCAACAGGTCCTGCCATCGGAAAAAAAAACAACGCTGGTAAAAATGCTGGCAAAGCTTATCATTACATTACCCCGCCCTAGTATGTACTCTCACTTTATTTTTCCATGCACGATCTAAAGGAGCTTGACATTCTAGTCAGATCTTCTGCTGGAATCATATTGATGTATTATTCCTTTGCTTTTGTCATGAAAAAATACTCAGATCACTCAGCGTTTCGGTGAAACCAGAGTAAATAGACTCGATAGAAATCGTCTCGATAGGATGACTGCTCGATATGCCATTAGGACGTGTCGTCGGTCCGTTTCACGAACAAGTATCGTTTTCCCAACCAGTCTCGTTTCACGAGTCCAACGAGTAATTTGAACAAGTGTCGTTTACTACTAGTCATGTCCTTGTTGCATATCGAGTACTCATCAAATCGAGAAGATTTTTATCAAGTCTTTATACCCTGGTTTCCCAGAAACGCCGTGTGATCCAAATACTCGTGCATGGTAGGTGGTTATGTCATTAAAAAAGCTGAGAGTTCCGGCGTGTTCTGTGAACTTGACATGTTTGCAATACTTTCATAAGATTTATTAATAGTAAGGCTGAAGTAGTTGGTTTATTTTAATTGCAACCGAGCGGAAGCCTTGAACCTTTTGTCTTCACTGAAGAACACTAAGGAGGTAACATACATTATTAAATATTTGCGTAACTATTTATAACATGTACGTGTTGGGCATACCTACAAATGTTTTTTTTTAATTCCTACCTGCCTATGTGATGGGAATTGCAACAGCGAACGGGAAGATTGTTTTTCAGAGTTCCAAGCCTTGTCACCTCCTCCTGTTTCTTCACCTTTTTCTCTTTCGATATGCCTCTTAGGATTTTTCCTCTGCAATTTCGTGAAATACAAGTAAAAAGCGATTAGAGCTCGACTTGATCATGACAACGAAATGTTTCAGTTTATATGACATCATGTTTTGGTAGCGTTTCCAAAACACATATCGCCGGAGAAAAAACAACATTTTGATGAATTAACTACCTCACTCGCAGAGGTCTTATTAGTAAAATATCCCCTAAAAAATTCTGAGTTCAGGAAACATATTGAATTTTCCGGTCTTTCGTCTATAGTGAAGGTAATATTGATATGAGACCTTTGCATAATTTTCACCGGTAAGCTACGATAAAATCTAAACTAATAAAACAAGTTACAAGGAGCCTACCGATGGCTTTCCTGTACGTCGAACATCGTTTGGAATACTATTCACAAATGCTAGTGTGGGGCTAACCATGGGTCTGTGATTAACACTCCAGTTCAGCTTTTTATCAAAACTTTTGGTCCGAACCAAATTTCTTTTGGAATACCGATGGTTATCATTTTGAGCTGCCATAAGGAACTTGCTTGAAAAAGTTTCATAAACGTCCAAAGTTCCTCTTCATTACTAGGGCATCTCTTCTACAAATACATAACATAACACCTTATCAGATCACAGCTGGACGTAACCTCACATACCTTTTATGGCATTATATTAAGGCTATCTTTTGTGTGATCTTATTTCTATAGTTTTGAAAAATCTGACACTAGTAGCTGCAAGTAACACTGAGAAAAAAAAACAGGCGTTTTGCTGCAGTCTATGACTTCTTGCCGACTAAGACCTCCGGCTTTAGTTCCCACTCACTGGAGCAGATTTTTCGTTCTTCGACTTAAGGCGCGTTCTTGAACTACGTTAGAAGTCCTTCTTCATTTAATGAGGTGGAAAATCTCTTAACATGCCTAGAACTGACGGGGGTTTCAACACCTGCCTTAAAGCGAATGATTCTAATTTACAACTACTTTTGCTTTGTTGCAAAACAGTTTAAGGTTTCTTGATACAGTTCGGCTCTCGAGGATCCCTCTAGTATCATAATGGAGGTCGAGTACATAAAAAACCGAATTGCACGAGGAACTGAAGCCTTAGAGAGAAGGATGGAGAGTGACGTCGAGCAAATGTGTAGAAGGATTTTAATACCGCTTACTGAAGAATTTGGGGAACGTGATTTGTCTGCAGAATTACTTGAGAGACTGAGAGGATATTTTAGAGACATCTACTGGAGTTTAAAAGTGCACTTGGTGTTTCACTCAGGAATTGCTGATGAGCTTCAAGAGATCGACGAACTCCTCAATGTGGTGGGTGCTTGGGGTGGCTTGACAAATGAAGAGATGAACGAACTACCAGACCAAGATTGCGTAGTCGACCCAGGAAGCAAACTCTTGGAAATGGTAAGTATATAAGCGGCATATGTGTGTGTTTTGTTTCCGAGTTTTTATGCATTGTCATTTGCACCGAGTAAGGCTGTAACATGCCTTGGCTGGCTGTTTATCTGACCTCGCTGTAGCTGACACCAAAGGTAATAGTATGTAGGAATGTTACAGAAAGAAGAAAACGGAATATGAGCTGAATTATAGAATTCAGTATCAGATGCCGCTCAAGATTGTCTTTTTAATTAGAGTCGAAAGACTCGGAAATATTTCCATTGTTCTTAGGCGGAATTTCGCTGAGAAATGTGACTCTTTTCTAGTAATATCTCTGTTACGTTTATTTAGATCATTTTGCAGATAGCCTGATTCTTAGACGGTCAAGTAGGAGCGACTGACCAACATTTGGACCGTCTTGAGAAACAGGTTTTTTCATAGAAGACCTGATGTGTGGGGTCAAGCTTTAAGTTAAACAGTTTTTAACCGGGTGGCCGATTTAGCTCAAACGCTGGTATCATAGAAGTCCTGCATCTAAATAGTCCGTTACGTGAAGAAAATAAAGAAAAAGGAATACACAATCAATGCAAATCGCGATTCAGAATTACAACGAAATTTCGAAAAGTTAACGCCAGAAGAAAAATTTCGCTCAGAAGTAGAAAGTGTGAAAGTTTTCGATTTTACCTACAGTTGCAGGAAGTTAATAAAAATTACCGTGCCAGCAGAGAGAAAGGTGACAGTTTTGTTTCCTAGAAATAACCGTTCTTTGTTTCTATTTATATTCCAGTTCAATGACATTATGGACGATCGTGGTGATAGAGGAAGCGCAGACTACACCAACCGTGTAATGAAGACGGCGAGTGACTACCTAAGTAAACTCACAAGCAAAAACACTTTCAAACCCACCGTTTTAACAAGGGTGTCACACACAGGCAGGTCTTTTATTGGGGCCTCAATAGCCGTAAGTCATTTCTTAAGGCCCATTTGTTTGTTTCATAGAATTATCAATCTTAAACAGAGTCTCGGAAAAGCAATAGTACATTTCCAGCCTCTAAATTTTCCAGATCGGCAAAACTGGTTATTTGAATCATTGAACACAGCCAACTATGATTTGATAAGAAGCCCTTGTCAAAATTGTAATATGATGTTTTGTGACGATCGTTCGGGAAACGGATGGTCCACGTTTCTCGCCGCATGTGCAGAGTACTGTCCTGTTAATCACCTCCTTCCAGATGAGCCGAATTTGAGGCAAAGTGCAAGTCATGATCCACTTGTGATAAATCTACTGAGGAGAAACCATGCTCGATGTTCAGATCTGTTCGAAAACTTTTTGGACATATCTAATAAATGCATAGCTGCCGCTCGATCAAACGACGAAAATATCATGGAGGCCGTGTACTGGGAAGTGATATATAAACTGCACATTTTTGGTTTAAGGCCAGAATGTAACCCCTACTTTTAGTTTTTTTTTTCGGTGTTCTCCGTCGTCACAAATTTACAGGACATTAAACTGCTCAACTCTAACAGTAAGAAGATAAAATATCTTTTTCGATCTTTTGCATGGAACAAATTTCAGCTCTTACATATTGTGAGAATTTAGGTTATTATCCCAGGTCGGTTCTTTGCACTGTCTTATCCGCGTTTGTTTTAAATGATACTGAATAAAGCTGTTTTGTAAAAGGTGGATAAAAACAAACGATTCATGTTTTAATTAATTAATTGCTCTTCCTGAGAGAGAGTTAAAAGAGATGTCTACCGTAGCTCGGCTAGATATGGTTGCCACTTTTCGGCGTATTTATGGTCTTGTACAGATCAGTCTTTTAACAATAAAATTTGTTGTTGTTGTTGTTGTTGTTACTGTTGTTGTTACATTTTGCTCATTTCCTAAGATTTTCATCAGTTACTTACAGCTCTTTTACGCACTAAGGTTACTAATTTATTATCAAAAGTTATCATGTGATACCTGTATAGTTAGGTCCGACAGACGAATGACACTAAGCTACTGCAAAAGTTCTTGTTTCAGACATTGACTGTGTAAACAAGATGTAAAATAAACTTCATTACACAGTACAATTCTTTTTTCCAATCACTTTACCTCCGTGGCAGATGTGGTAGTAATGAATTTGCAACAGTCAATACAAAATATGTAAAAAGTAAAACAAAAGTTTTAATAAAGTATGCTAATTAAACTGTTAACCAACTTTGTCGGGCATTATTGACATGCCATATCATAAGCTCTTTTATCCAACAACGATTAGTTAGCCTATTATTGATGTTTATTTGTATAAATAAATTGAAGTGTATTTTAATTGATAAATCAATAAAACACAGACACCACGGGTTCTCTCAGAAGTAAGAGGAGTTTAAAGGTGCAACGTCATGGTTTGTGTATCTTGAATAATTTATCGTAAAATTTACAATTCCGTCATTTACAATCTGTGCAATCTTCGTCATCCTTAACCTCCTCATTTGTTGTTTGTTTGTTTGTTTATTCTTACTTCTTTGATGTTTGTCTACCTTAGTGTTATATTTAAACGCGTAGATTCAAACACGCGTGAGATGCCACCAAATCTGTTCCTGGGACACAAGGTAGTCTATTCAACTTTTTAACACGCGTTACTTTGAAAGCTGAAGGATTGACTGAACGCTTAACGGCAATGGAGACTCTGAACGTTAGGAAAGCATCTGGAAATCGTTCCCTCACTTTTCAACCTGTTTAACAGATGTATAGACGAGGAAAAATAGCTTCAATTGTGGAAAAGGGGAGGATGGATTCCTGCCTTCAAGGGTGACGACCCCTTACTAAAGGAGAATTATAGACCAAGCACTTTCCTTCCTGTTATAGATAAAGTCTTCGAACAGATTATAACTAAACAACTTGTGAGGATGTTCGACCATCACTTGGAGCATAATTTAACAGCTTATCGCAAAACTTACAGCTGTGAGACAATACTTATTAATATTAAGATTAATTTAAGATTTGTATCAAGAATAAGGAAAATCCCACGCGAAGTAATTATGGACACCATTGGCTTCCCAAACTGAGCATTTTCTTCTTGAAGTAGAATAGAATTGAATCATACTTGCGTATTTGTTACAAATCCTTGTAAAATCTTTCAAATCACGCACAGGTCAGATTAAACGCTCACTTTCAACAGAGGATCAAGGTTCTGTAGGTCCCCATAGGATAGGGTTTTCGGGGTGCTCAGTCCCCAAAGTGGGTACCTTTTTGACACTATCGGTCGTGGGCATCCCTACGTGCGTCAAGTGCGTGTGATTCGTGGGAATGTTTAATGTAAAGGTAGTTGACAACTTGTTTCTCGGTTGAGGTTCTAGTTGCTTTTAATATAACGAATGAAGAAACTATGAATTACATGGGTTAACAATCCTTTGGAGTGAAACACCACAAATTTTAATTTGGTCAAGTAATCGGTAAACAACCATTACCTAGAAAATCTTTCAGCATAGTCACGTGTGCTTTTACACTTCTGTAGAACATCCTTCATCAAAAAAGCTGTTTATGTTGTATGCTATACAGCTACTTGCAAAAAATTATACTGAGCCATTCACTGCTGTGAAAGGTAGGATTCTGGGGTAAAGGTAAAGAAATCATAGGTTTGGTCCACAATAAGGTATCATTTGCGGGGAATCTGGTCAAGTTTATGAATAATATAGTTAGACTAAGAACTTCACAGTTAAGTAATTTGAAAATGACTTCCAAAGTGGGCATGTCAATAGACTGAATTGGCCTGCAACAGTGTAAGTTGGCCAGCTGTTCTGAGAGTAACAGGAGTAGACCTAGAGTAGAGGTTTTCCTCGCGTTCTCTTGTCCCGCATAGCGAAAGATCCCAAACTAAAACTCAAATTACTTCCACTGAGTTACATTTAGTTCTAATTTTGAGAGCTGCGAACTTTCCACGTGTAGTTTCGTTTTTTTCTATTAAGTTTTTTAAGTTATTTATTAATACTGTAATTTTTTTCTCGCCGCCCTCAAAGAAGTTGGTGAAGACTGGGCTCCAGTATCCGTTCTCGTAACTTTCCAGAGTTACAAAAGAGTTTATTTCGAGGTATGCCAAAAGGATTTTGCCATGAAAGGAGCAAGCAGAGTAAATTTGCCACCAGTATCACTCAAGATGAGTACTTTTTCATCTTTAACATTTGTTTTCAAGAATCAGTTTACATCTTGTTGTGGCAACATTTAATGTAAACAATAGTGAAACTGATTTGTGCAGGAGTATTCTATGTAGTAGTCTTACATTTCAAAATGATCAATCGATCTCTTCTTACACTTGCAAGAGAGAATCCGTAGTGTCTGATTTTTATTGATTTGTCAATTAAAATACGCTACAATTTATTTATACAAATAAACAATAATAGGCTAACTAATCGTTGTTGGATAAAAGAGCTTATGATATGACATGTCGATGATGCCTGACAAAGTTGGTTAACAGTTTAATTAGCATACTTTATTAAAACTTTTGTTTTCCTTTTTACATATTTTGTATTGACTATTGCAGATTCCTTACTACCACATCTGCCACGTAGGTAAAATGATTGGAAAAAAGAATTTTATTGTGTAATAACGTTTATTTCAACTCTTGTTTACAGTCAATGTCTGAAACAAGAACTTTTGCATTAGCTGTCATGCGTCTGTCGGACTTAACTATACAGGTATCACATGATAACTTTTGAAAGTAAATTAGTAACCTTGGTGCGTAAAAGAGCTGTAAGTAACTGATGAGAATCTTAAGAAATGAGCAAAATGTAACAACGACAATAACAACAACAACAACAACAATTTATATTGTTTTTACCCTTTCACTCCCAAGATCTTATTAGTAATTCTCCTTATTATCTGCCATACAATTCTTATGATGTTAGTTCAGAGAATTTGGTATTGGATCAACTAATAATCCCATGATTGATATTCTTCTCAATTCTCATCACCTGCCTGCTTGATATTGTATTGATATTGTAAGGAGAAATTCTGTCTCGGTCACTTGTGGGAGTGAAAGGGTTAAGACTGATCTGTACAAGACCATAAATACATCGAAAAGTGGAAACCACATCTAGCCGAGCTACAGTAGACATCTCTTTTAACTCTCTCTCAGGAAGAGCAATTAATTAATTAAAACATGAATCGTTTGTTTTATCCACCTTTTACAAAACAGCTTTATTCAGTATTATTTAAAACAAATGCAGATAAGACAGTGCAAAGAACCGACCTGGGATACTAACCTAAATTCTCACAATATGTAAGAGCTGAAATTTGTTCCATGCAAAAGATCGAAAAAGATATTTTATCTTCTTACTGTTAGAGTTGAGCAGTTTAATGTCCTGTAAATTTGTGACGACGGAGAACACCGAAAAAAAAAACTAAAAGTAGGGGTTACATTCTGGCCTTAAACCAAAAATGTGCAGTTTATATATCACTTCCCAGTACACGGCCTTCATGATATTTTCGTCGTTTGATCGAGCAGCAGTTATGCATTTATTAGATATGTCCAAAAAGTTTTCGAACAGATCTGAACATCGAGCACGGTTTTGACTCAGTAGATTTATCACAAGTGGATCATGACTTGCACTTTGCCTCAAATTCGGCTCATCTGGAAGGAGGTGATTAACAGGACAGTACTCTGCACATGCGGCGAGAAACGTGGACCATCCGTTTCCCGAACGATCATTACAAAACATCATGTTACAATTTTGACAAGGGCTTCTTATCAAATCATATTTGGGTTTGTATAGTGCTTCAAATAACCAGTTTTGCCGATCTGGAATATTTAGAGGCTGGAAATGTACTATTGCTTTTCCGAGACTCTGTTTAAGATTGATAATTCTATGAAACAAACAAATGGGCCTTAAGAAATGACTTACGGCTATTGAGGCCCCAATAAAAGACCTGCCTGTGTGTGACACCCTCGCTAAAACTTTGGGTTTGAAAGTGTTTTTGCTTGAAAGTTTACTTAGGTGGTCTTTCGCCGCCTCCATTACACGTTTGGCATGGTCTGTGCTTCCTCTATCACTGCGATCATCCATAATGTCGCTGAACTGGAATATAAATAGAAACAAAGAACCGTTAACTGTCACCTTTCTCTCTGCTGGTACAGAAATTTTTATTAACTTCCTGCAACTGTAGGTAAAACCGAAAACTTTCACGCGTTTTACCTCTGAGCGAAACTTTTCTTCTGGTGTTAACTTTTCTTCTGGTGTTAACTTTTCGAAGTTTTATTGTAATTCTGAATTGCGATTTCCACCCATTGTAAAGTCCTTTTTAAAATTTTCTTCATGTTATGGACCATCTAGATGCAGGACTTCTATGATAACAGCGTTTAAGCTGAATCGGCCACTCGGTTAAAAAACTGTTTCACTCTAAGTCTGACTCCAGATATCAGATCGTCTATGAACAAACCTGATTCTCAAGACGGTCCAAATGTTGATCAGTCGCTCTTACTTGACCGTCTAAGAATCCAACTATCTGCACGTCGATTTCGTTAAAATGGTGTAAATAAAAGTAACATACCGTGTTTCTTCACCTATAAGCCGAGCGATTTTTCGGCTTAAAGCCGAGGGTTTGGGATTCAAAAACAAGTACAAATTTAATGTTAATGTGAAATGACCGTACATTTCGTGACTGCAGCGCTCTTCAAGTGACGTGCTTTAAAATTGACATAATAACAAAGTATTTCTGACCACCAATCAGATTCTTTGCTTCCCACGCATTGAAAGACGATCTCACTCAAGTCGGTATAATCTGTTCTCATTTCACATTACAAATGAAATATTTGGTCTCTCCGCTGTGGAAACCTCCACATCGCCTACTCGTCTCGTTCGGGACACTTGAGAGTAAAACGGCCCATTTTTGCTCGTTTTGCAAACATCTTCAGCTCTCGAGCGATTTCCGAGCTGTTTTCTACAGCTTCAGCTTTCGCGACAACTTCTATCCTGAAAGCCATAGTATACGAAGAGCGGCGTGCTTTTGGCATGATGAGAAAAATAGCAGTGACGAAAGAGATACTCGATTGAAACGTTTGTCGGGTTACAGTAACTGTTGCCGTGTTTCTGCAATCGCGTAGTAGTATTTACATCTTCACTGATTCGCTTTTTTTTCTTTTGTGTTTATTCTCATTCATTAGCTGTTGTGTTCATGAAGCCATTTCACAATTTTTTCCGTGAGGTTCGCACACTCAAATGGCCGGTTATAATCAAGAATTTCGCACTCGGCTTATAGCGGATGGTTTTGCTTTTTCTTTTGGATAACACGAGTCTGTTGGAAGGTCTCTAACTTTAAGGGTCTAGGCTTATAGCCGAGGTTGGCTTATAGATGAAGAAATACGGTAGATATTACTAGAAGAGGGTCACAATTTTCAGCGAAATTCCGCTCAAGAACAGTGGAAATAGTTCCGAGTTTTTTTACTCTAATTAAAAAGACGATCTTGAGCGGCATCTTATACTGAATTCAATAATTCAGCTCGTAGTCTGGTTTTTTCTTTCCATAACATTCTTGCAAACTATTACCTTTGGTATCAGCTACAGCGAGGTTAGATAAACAGCCAGCCAAGGCATGTTACAGCCTGACTCGGTGCAAATGACAATGCATGAAAACTCGGAAACAAAACACACACACATATGCCGCTTATATACTTACCATTTCCAAGAGTTTGCTTCCTGGGTCGACTACGCAATCTTGGTCTGGTAGTTCATTCATCTCTTCATTTGTCAGACCACCCCAAGCACCCACCACATTGAGGACTTCGTCGATCTGTTGAAGCTCATCGGAAATTCCTAAGTGAAACACCAAGTGCACTTTTAAACTCCAGTAGATGTCTCTAAAATATCCTCTCAGTCTCTCAAGTAATTCTTCGTGCAAATCATGTTCACCAAATTTTTCAGTAAGCGGTATTAAAATCCTTCTACATAGTTGCTCGACGTCTCTCTCCACCCTTCCCTCTAAGACTTCAATTCCTCGTGCAATACGGTTTCTTATGTACTCAGCCTCCATTATGATACAAGGGGGATCCTTGAGAGCCGAACTGTGCCAAAAAACCTTAAATTATTTGCAGCAAAGCAAAAATATATGTAAATTAGAATTATTCGCTTTAAGGCAGGTGTTCGCCCCCTGTCAGTTCAAGGCATGTTAAGAGATTTTACGCCTCAATAAATGAAGAAGGGCACCTAACTTAGTTCAGAAACGCGCCTTAAGTCGAAGAACGAAAAATCTACTCCAGTGAGTGGAAACGAAAGCCGGAGGTCTTAGTTGGTATGAAATTACAGGCTGCAGCAAAACGCCTGCTTTTTTTCTCAGTTTTACTTGCAGCTATTCTCAGACTATTCAAAACTATTGAAATAAGATCACAAAAATTGGCCATAAGAGGCTTAAGCTTTCGTCCAACTGTTGCCTGATAGGTGTTACGTCATGTTTCCAAAAAAGGTCTTTGTGGCAGCTCAAAATGATAGTTATCGTTATTCCACCAGAAATTTGGTTCGGACGGAAGGTTTTGATAAAAAACTAAACAGGAGTTTTAATCACAGGCTCATAGTTAGCTCCATAGTAACATTCATGGATAGAATTCCAAACGATGTTCGACGCACAAGACAGCCATCGGTAGGCTCCTTCTAACACTTTTTATTGGTATGAATTTTATCGTAGTATACCGGTGATAATTAGGAAAAGATCTCATTTTTTACAGACGTTAAGAATTTGAGTGAAGCACAGCCGTTTTTTGTTTTCGGTTTATGGCATTGAAACTGACAATCTTTGTTTGAGCGGGAATATTTAGGAAACTAAGATGGCGGCGTTAGAAAATGATCTTCTCGCTGCGCGTAGTTCTTGACCTGATATTTCAACGAAAATTATCGAGAAGGCGCTTTCCGATCAACTTTGTTGACTTTGTAAGTCGCGCAAGCGTTAGGACCGATCACCTTTACGCAACGTTTTAGGACAACTCGGCATCTATTCTCCTTTCAGTTGATAAGAAAATCTGAAATCCTCAACGTAGAAGATAAGCAAACGAAGTTTGAACGGTCAAAAGGAGATCTTCGTCTGGTCTCAGAATTATGCAAATTATCACTGACACGAGCGCAGTTTAGCAAACACCTGGATTTGCGTTGTTTTAAGATGTTGATGGATGAAAGCTACAGATATACCCTCGGATTTGAGGCAATCGTTGACCTCAGTGGTGTATAAACTATACACTGATATGCTTTTTTAGTCCGATGAAGTCTGCATTTTGAGAAATCTTTCGTACAAATTGGTGAATTTTGATATGCAAATTAAGGTCGAAGAGAAGGCTCTCCTCTGATCACGCTTAAATGAAAAATATTTCACCTGAAGTTTCCATCTTTAGATGTGATCTAAAACAAATAGATTCCAAGTTGCCGTGCGTCTTTTCAGTAATAGATCACAGAGAACAACTAAACTATCTTTGAAACATGTGTCCTAAATCCTTTTCATGGGAAATAATAAAAGAAAACTTTTTTCCAACGGGAGTCGAGCGGAGCGCTCTTAGCCAGAGCGGCAGTTAAGCGCTTCATCCGAAACTGGCATTCTTTTCCTCATACCTTGGTGATTACAAAATCTTTTAACGCTTCGCAAACTACAGCCCTTTAGATTCGGATATCGAGCTTTGATTTCAGCGACAAGCTCCTCGTAAGTATGTTTCTGTTCGATAAGAAACCGGCGGACAAAGTCTTTATATACGACATTTCCTAACACCGCCATCTTAGTTTTCTCAATATTCCCGCTCAAACAAAGATTGTTAGTTTCAATGCCATAAACCGAAAACAAAAAACCAAAACCGAATCGTAATCCGTTTTCAAAATTCATACGAAAATTCCGTTTTTTTGAGCAACAGAAAAAGAAAACGGAGAGCATTAAGTGAATTCGAATTCCGTTTCCTTCCGGAAGGGGAAAAATGAAAACGAAAATAGAAGTCTAATTTCGTTTTCTTTACTGCAAAGAAAAACGAAAAACGAAAAACGAAAAACGAAAAACGAAAAACGAAAAACGAAAAACGAAAAACGAAAAACGAAAAACGGAAAACGAAAAACGGAAAACGAAAATAAAATTTGAGTTTTATTTTCCTATACAATTGAAAATCAGTTGGCACTAAGGTACACCGATTTGTAGGCTCCTTCTAAATTGTTTTATTTGTATGAATTTTATCGTGGTATACCGGTGATAATTAGGTAAAGATCTCATTTTGTACAGACGTTAAGAGTTTGTGTGTAGCACAACCGTAAATATCTCTGTTATCTTTACTATAGACGAAGGACCGAAAAACTCGATATGTTTCCTGAACTCAAAATTTTTAGGGGGATGTTTTGCTAATTGGGCCTTTGCGAATGAGGTAGTTAATTAATAAAAATATTATTTTTTCTCCGGCGATATGCGTTTTTGAAACGTTACCAAAACTTGATGTCAGATAAACGAAAACATTTCGTTGTCATGATCAAGTTGAGTTTTTATTACTTCTTACTTGTATTTCACGATATTGCACAGGAAAAAGCCTAAGAGGCCTATCGAAAGAGAAAAAGATAAAGAAGCAGGAGGAGGTGACATGGCTTGGAAAAAACAATCTTCCCGTACACTGTTGCAATTTAAGTCACATACACAGGTAGAAATTAAAAAAAAAACATTTGTAGGTATGCCCAATACATACATGTTACAAACAGTTACGCTAATATTTAATACTGTATGTTTCCCCTCTTAATGTTCTTCAGTGGAGACAAAAGGTTCAAGGCTCCCGCTCGGTTGATACAAAAATAAAGCAACCACTTCAGCCTTACTGCTGATAAATCCTATACATACTCGTTCGACTCGTGAAACCGAACTGGTTAGGAAAACGAAACTTGTTTGTGAAACGGACCAACGACACGTCCTTGTGGCATATCGAGTAGTCACAGGAGCCCATAATGGGCTCCTGGTAGTCATCATATCGAGACGATTTTTATCGAGTCTATATACTCTGGTTTCCCAGAAACGTTGGTCTGAGTATTTTTTCATGACAAAAGCTGCAGCGAACGAACGGGCAAATTTCAAAACGGTTACACGAACCATACAATTTCGTCGTAACCAATGGTTTCTGAAACGTGATTAACTTGAATTACACTACAGCCAACTACCGACAACAATAATTATGATCACAAAGCGAAACATCAAACGGCAAAAGACAACGCAAAACGTACCTGACGGTTTGGATAGAAGAAGTACACGAGAACGTCATGAAAACTGCATGACATTACTGTTCTTTTCGCGCGAAAATTTCAATATATGTATACGGATGCCTGATAAAAGGAACGCGGGCTCATGCCGAGGGTTGTTTACATCAAAGTTGCAGATTTGTGTTAATTAATTGCCGGCCGACTCGCTGACGAGAACTCCTGATGGCTCGTAGAAAACCTCACGGCAGCCAGTTTTCTAGTAAAAATCAGCCACCAGCCAAAAAGAAGCTGAGAAAACATGAAGATTATTTTGAAAAAGTTGAAAAAAAAAGCGTTGCGGTGCAAGTTTGCAACTTTTTAAGTGAAGAAAAAATCGATCGACTCAAGAGAGAGTGCAAGAGTTTGAGGTCTGAAAACGCCAATCTAAAAGGAACAGTCACAACCTTACGACGCAGTATAGGTAAGTGATATTATTTCAGGAGGGAATGGAAATGCACACTTGCAAATGTCTAAGAATAATACTGCAGATTGCCTGAGCCACGAACTACGGTGAATGATTTTCATTCCCATTCTGAATTTTCAGCGGTTTTCACTTACGCGATCGCTAATGACACTACTTTAAGAGGATTTTAATCATAAACCGATAATACTCCCACCGAACAGAAGCCAAAAAAACTCGAAAACAAAGACAAAGTAGTCGATATGGCTGCATGGTCAGTATTTTCAGGCTTTTTCTTGCTTAACTATTTGGAGCGGCGATTAACGCAAGGGAGGTAGTACGCGCACTCAAAAGCGAAAAAATTAAACTGCGGACTAGATTCCCTCTAAAGGTTCGTACCTAAGAAAAGAAATGTACAGGCAAGTTAATTTTTTCGGTCAGCAGATCATAAGGACACGTATCTTTGAGTGTCACACAGTATCGAGAGTTTTACGAGTGAAGTTTTGAGGCTTGTGTTAGAAGTTTTTATCAACATGAACAAAATTATCTGCGTACGGACCGCCGTGGAAACAGAATAGTTTCAATTATTTAACCCTGCAATTGTGATAACAATGTTTTTGCCAAATTTAAACTACACATTCTAAATATACCTGGTCGATAAGATTTCTGGTAGGACATTTTAACTTTGTATTCTGTTTCAATACTCTATCATGTGAAATCAGTTACATTTAACTAATTTTCATTGTGTCACCTTTTCATAATTTCAGTATTTGTAAAAGGAAGGAACATCCAATTGAAAAAGGACGTGTTGAGGCTTCAAACTCAACTTAAAAAGTGTCAAAAACTCTGACGTCTACTGAAAAAAAGGAAAAACAAGTCAGACACAAGCTAAGGGGGACAAGATCTGCTTCCTCAAAGCTAAAACAGAAATTACAGGGCAACAGTGAAATTGCCAAAAAGGGGTATTCCCTTGTGGAGACATTTGCTCATGGTCACAATGGACACAACCGAAGGACATTGATGTTTATGGCTTGTGTCAGATACATGCAACATGCATCTTTGTTATCATATCAAAAGACACCTGTAGCATTACATCTGATTTTCAATATTTTGTTCAATTGTAGCCCCCCAACAAACTTCATTGTCTCCCCAACTACACTTTCTGACTGGAATGTTCTCTTAGGTGAAGCCGACAAACTAATTTTACGCAAGCGCTTTTCAAATTCCAGGTATGATTTTCATCTCTGGGGCGATGACTCCCACAAAGGAGGAGAGGAGAGGCACGTAGTGGGTGTTCACACCTGGTGTCTCTAGAGAGCAAGCCACGAGCTTATGTCCTTGCAAACAGCCTAACAGCAAGTGGGTCTGGAAAACACCAGTCTGATGTAGATTACCACGTTGTAAAAATGAATATGATATTACCAATGTTTCAGGGTTGGTTGGGGACAATGCCTCTACCCAAAAGGGAAAAGTAAACGGTCTTTTAGCTAACAATTCCAGAATTTTTGGAAAAGAGATGTTTTTTGTAGGATGCTACCCACATGTACTAAACATTATGCTGAGAAGAATGTGCCAGGCTGGGTTTGGGGCCAAGGGTGACATGAGCAACCCCCATGTTTTACAATTACTCTATAAAATATCTTGGCTCCATCATGAGCTTCCAAGCCAATACAAAGTTATGTATGTTTCTCTTGGTATTCTAAGTAAAGAGCCACCCCTTCCCCAGACATTCATAGACACAAGGTGGACATATTATCATGAAACTCTCCAGTGGTATCTTAAGTATGGAAAAGCTTATTTACAGCTCGCTGAGTGTCTCCTTGAAAGATTGCCAAAATCAGATAGCCACCAGACTATTTGGCAAGATGTCATTAAGCTGAGCTCCAGTCCTATGATTCAAGTTGAAATCAAGTTTTTGTTTGAATTCCTCGATAAGTTTATCATCCCATCTCTGAATACATCCCAAGCTAGTGATGCAGAACTTGGATTCTCCAGTGGTTACCGAGCAAGGTTATGGCCAGCAACTGTTCTGGAGCACCATGAAACTTTAAGTAAAATGTTGATGTCTCCTGCAGAATATTTTCCTTTAACATCACAACAGGTGAAGATGTCACTGAAGGACCCAGCAGCTATCAACCATTTTCACAAACAAGTGCAGAGGCCAATGTTACAAGAAGCAATTAAAGTAATCAAAGATTATGGAGCAGAGTGGTTAACTTTTCCCAAGTTGTTTGGAATGGGAGCCGATCAGAGATACCAAAGTCCTTTCTGGCATTCAGTTTTAAAGCTTCTTGAAATTCCAGTCAGATCTGAAAATCAACAAGAAAAGTCAGTGAACAATCTCTTTCATGTACATGGACAGAACATTCTAACATTGGTGTCTAAGGATAGAGTTGGATTGATTAAATGGGCCACTCTTTGGAAATTGATGGAACCACAATTGCTCAGTGAGATCAAAGAAATTGCTTCGATCATCACCACACAGCTCAATCATAAGTAAAGAAGCCACTCAAAACCTGTTTGAGTTCTATGCCAAGCACATTTTCAGTCTTCCAGTTAACAATGTTCTCGCTGAAAGACAGTTCAACCTTTCTCAACTGTATCTTAATGATAACATGTCAGAATTATCAAAACAGGCCTCAATCACATTTGTTGAAAATATTCTGCATAGTGGAAAAAAACCAACACCAGGACCACAGAAGCAGCACGTGAAGTTCACGAAAAAAGAATGAAAGAATATACCCAAATGCTTACCACAGACGTTTTGCAAGAGGCAAGAAAGAACCAAACAAGATAAGAGAAAACTGCACACATGGGCCACTTACTGCAAAGGATGTTTACCCTAGAGCTTGGGTAGAAAAGAAAGTAAACAATAACTTACCAGAAACAATTAAGTCACTAAAAGCAGATGGTCGCAAACTTAAACTTCAATGGAAGGCTTCTGCCAAGGGAACATCTGCACTGGAGGGACAGAGGTCATTCAACCCAACAGTAATTGAGGGAGTTACCTGTACACCTGATGGACAAGTTCCAAGACTCATGCAGCTAGCGGCACTAAAGGTGTGGAACTATGGGGAGGAGCTACCAATTTATGATCTACCAAGAGAATGCCAGTTGTGTCTACAAAATCTTCCAAATGTCTTCCAGCCTCCAACCACTCATCTTTCCACATCCCACATGTCTGAACATGTTACACCGTTGCCTGCACATGAAGAATAGAGTAGTCATGAGGGGTGGCTCAGTAATTTTTAAATGTTTTAGATTTGTACATATAAGAATTGATTTCACCGACCACACTGCATGAAATAAATATATCTAAGCATGTATGCATTTTTACACACAGAGACGCATCTAATAATTGATTAATGTTTCAACACAACATGTTAGAATTAACCTGGTAAAAGCACGTTGTACATGCCATGTTAGTAAAGTGAACATAGCTTAATATCTTTGTATATGTACATGTAGCATGTTAGCTTTTTGGTTTACAATATTGCAACTGGTTTTACAGGGTAAAAGTGAAGTGCATGGTGCCAAAGTTGAGACATGCATGTACAATCATGTTGTATTGGATCTTGAATTAAATGAATTGAATATTACATTCAAAATGACCAGTAGGTGTACGAAGCTGTAATGTATCTGATTTTTAATTGTTATGTATGACTGTAGCTTTGTAGAATATTGAACAAACACTGAATTGCTGTCACTAAATTTCAGCAGTTTAAGAACATAATAAATGTAATATTTAAGTACATGTAGATTATATCATTATACTGTTGCACATGTATAACTTAACATATCACTAGCAGTATGTAACTTTTAATGTGATAAGAACATGACTTATGTATGAGTGTTCTTGTACAATAAGCATAACATTTTGCACAACAACAACAACAACAACAACAACAATTTATTCGTACCCAAACATGATACAATAATAATAAACAGAGTATATCAATAAAAGATGTAGAGGAGTACTAGCTGCCCCAAATAACCATAAGGGCTATAAGGAAAGGGCAGCTATACTTCGGTAATTTATCTAATACAATGATTTAGGTCAGATATAACATACACAAACACACACAGACATAACATACACACACACAAAGAAATGTACATTCAAGATCATACAAACAAGATCAAGAACGCTTTGAAAATCAGAGTAAAGAACGAAGGCTACGGAAATTATTAGTATTTTTCAATAAGGATTAGCTTAAGGTTTTTCTTAAAACTTTTCAAAGGAAGAAGCTTTATGTGATCGCTTATATCATTCGACTTTAGAACCCTGAAATCTAATATTGAAAATTCCATAATTTGTTCTGACTTTTGGAATAGCATAGGACATTTTACTAGATAATCTGGTATTATAATTATGTATCATCCTAACAGAATTAAAGTAAGGATCAAAAACAGGAGATAAAAGATTATTATGAAACTTTTACATAAATACTGCAAGTTGAAAGGTTATGATGTCAAACAACTTTACAACGTTTAGATCTTTAAATAAAGGACTCAAATGTTCGTTATAACTAGAGAAGGTGATTATTCTTAAGGCCCTCTTCTGTAATATAAACAAAGGTTGCAAAGTTGTTTGATAGGTATTACCCCAAGCAATTATGCAGTAGTTGAGAAAAGGCTCAACCAGAGCATAGTACAGGCTAAGTAGTGTTTTAGTACTTAAGAAATAACTTAGATTAGAAAGGATGCCTATACTTCTCTTGATTTTTTTAGAAATATTAGTAATGGGCATCTTCCAACTAATATTGTAATCTATGTAAACTCCAAGGTATCTAATGGAAGTTTCCTGGGTCAACATCTGATTGTTTATAGATAACATGACCTGTTTGAGCACATTTCTTTGAATTGGATGGAAAATAACAAAGTTTGACTTATCAATATTTAATGAAAGCTTATTTGCACATAGCCAAGTAAGAACTTTCTCAAGTTCAGAATTAATCAAACTTTCAAGCATCTTTATATCCCTATGCTGAAAGAATAAATTTGCATCATCCGCAAAAAGATGGAAATCCAGAAGCGTTGAACAATTATGAAAATAATTTACATAGATTAGGAATAAAAGTGGTCCAAGCACTGACCCTTGGGGCACACCACAGGAGACTGTCTGAGTGTCTGAAGTGATAGCACCAAGAGAAACAAACTGAGATCTATTACTTAAATATGAAATAAACCAGGTCTTAACAACACCTCTGATACCATAATAGTCAAGTTTTGTGAGTAGAATTTGGTGATTAACAGTATCAAAAGCTTTGCTAAAGTCTAGGAATATTCCACAAGAATAATCATGGTCTTCAATGGCTAATTGCACTTAGTCAATAATACTAAGAACTGCATGATCAGTTGAGTAGTGAGAGCGAAATCCAAACTGTTTACCATAAATAAGTTGTCTCTTGTTAAGAAAGTCAATTATCCGCTTGTACATAAGCTTTTCTAGCAGTTTGAGTAGCACTAGGAATGGAGCTAGCAAGATTACTACCTATATTAACAAAAAATTCATTAAAAGCATTGGCTATTGATTCTTGGTCAATTATTTCACAATTATCTACCACTATTTTATTGACAGGTTGATTGACGTGGGTTTTAACCTTAACAATTTGTTTCATTCCATACCAGATTCGTTTACCATTATTTTCATGAACTGAGAAAAAATTATTATAATAATTTTTCTTAGCTAGTTTAATTAAATGATTCAATTTATTCATGTAAATTTTAAATTTTGTATGATAGTAGATAGATTTTGTCTTGAGGAATTTCTTGAATAAGCTATTTTTTATTCTAATGGAGGTTCTAATTCCAGAAGTAATCCATGGCTTTGATCGAGCTTTGAGATCTTGTTTAGATAATTGCTTGACAGGTACATGTAGATCAACAACCTCTGATAACTTAATATAAAAATTGTCAAACATATTGCTGGGGTCAGAAGATTTTTTAAGCAAACGATTCCAGTCTATAGATTGAAAATCACTAATCAAGGTTTCCCTGTCTAAGTTTGAATAATCTCGTCTGAAAACTTTAGTACTAGCTGGAAGAGAAGATAATTTACTGACAATAAGAAAATTAGGTAGATGGTCAGTAAGATCATAACATAAATTACCGCTGATCACAAAATGCTCAAGAGAATTAAAGAATATATTGTCAGTAAGAGTCGCGGGGTGATCTGATCTGAGTGCACAGGAAGGGCAAATCAAAGTGATGCAGCCAATGGTATGTTACACATAGTTAGTGTACAATGATTAGCAGTAATAAATTAGAGTGGAACACTGGATCTGTTAAAAATGTGCCAAGTTTATTATCCTGTCTTTCCTTATTCTGTGTAAAAGATAAGTAATACCATTCTGACCCGTAATTAATCCTCTCTCCCCTTTAAACGTTTTTCTTCTACTATTAAATATATCTACATCAATGGAATTTTTCTCACATATACCTGAACTGGTCATTACAAGCTGCCTGTCAGGCAACTTGTAATGACCAGTTCAACAACCAAACTTTACCTGGACCTATACTAATTATTGAATATGCAGTGTGGTCGAAAAAGAATCAGTGTATTGGTCAATCCTCTACATTCAAAGTGCCCAAAAGAAACGAGCATTAATTTGACAATCGACACCAGTCAAACATCATCTCCGTAATCCGTAGTAAGTACCAACGAGTACCCGAGAAGTGATTGATAAATTGTTCTTGGTTCCTGTTGACGATTAAACCGGAGTTCACTCTAGATCTCGAGTGGGCGATATTGAAAGTAGGCTAATTGACCCTTTATCACCAACACACCCCAAGATAGGGGTCAAGATAACTTAATTTATATTTACCTCGTGCATTGTGCGCTTGCTGTACTTTCGAGCTGCTCTGAGTACATTTCATCAGTCGATAGATTTCACTCCATGGTATCTTGAGCGTGCGTCAAAAAAATGTGAATAACTTTCAAACGAACAACGTTGGACTCCAAAACTCAGTTTGCCTTGAAAACACGATGCCCACTCCTAAACTTGTCCTTTTCGAAATTCCAAATAATAAACACCACGCGCAATGAACGACAAAACAGTACGAAAAATTAGAATTTCTACCACTTAGTCGATGAAAAGGAAAAAAATAAAACGGTAGAATCTTCAACTTCGTCGCAGTATTCCCGGTTTATGTGTTAAACTACCTGAGACTTCGTGTTTTGACAAGATATTCAACGGTAAAAGTTTTAAGAGCGTTAAGGAGAGAAGTAAACACAGGAGACGGCCTATTCTGCGCATTTCCGAAATTTTCCTTAGCTCACGTGCATACGCTGTTCCGTGAGGCCTAATTAATTCTCTCCGTAGCAAGATCTCCTCAAAACAATTTTATTCCTTGTGATACAATTAGGCTTCAAAAAAAAAGGTTACAAAACGAGGACTGCACTGGAGGTAACTTTCAATGCCAATTCATGCATGGTATTAACTCTTGCATATCACTTTTATGATTCTTGGGAGAACTGAGGAAAATTTATGGAAAAAGAACAGAGAGAAATGAGGAAGTGACCTATGGTTCTGAGGCGGGTATATATTGAGAGATGAAATGCAACATGCGCACAAGGCATGTGCATATATCCCCGTCCCCAAAGGGGCGGATGTGCACAGTCTAACAAAGAAGTGCCAGCTCTGGGGGATGCTGATTTCTTTCAGCACTAGTAATATCCGCCGGGTAACTCAGTTTTCTGCCCCGTGATCTAATGAACGGATAGACAGTCATGCAGAAAAGTAGGTTTGTCGAGGAGTTTTTTTTTTCTCAAAAAAGTATTTGTTTTGGCAATGCGACCATTGAGGAAATGTCTATTTTTTTAATAATAACTGGTGTAAAAGAAGCTTCCAACGACACCAGGATTACTAAAATGCAAAAATCTGAATACTTTACTCAAAAAACTCTGTGGTACACTGACCTAGGATAATCTGTAGAATACTAACCTAATGCCATCTGACCTGCTGAGCTAGCAATGGTAGAAAGCTAAGGTAAAGCTATGCCTCAGTTAGGCTTTCTGAAATCTTTCGCAGTCCGGTTTTGGCATGGTCTGTGCTTCCTCAATCACTGCGATCATACATAATGTCGCTGAATTGGAATATAAATAGAAACAAAGAACCGTTAACTGTCAACTTTCTCTCTGCTGGCACGGTAATTTTTATTAACTTCCTGCAGCTGTTGGTAAAACCGAAAACTTTCATGCGTTCTACCTCTGAGCG